CATATTTAATGTTTTTATGTTGATTTTTGGCAAAAAAAAAAAAAATGATTTTGTATACATGTGTTGATTTTTGAAAAAATGCATGATTTTTGGGTAAGGATGATAGATTGGGAGGAGAAAAATTGAGTAGAGATCGTCGAAAATGGAGTTTTTCGATGATCTCCACAAAGGAGACGCTTAGCCCAACTGATTGGGCCGTTTAGGCATGCTCAGACGACCCAGACTCACCCAGATGATCTAGTTGACTGGGCCGACTGGGCGCCCAGTTGACTGGGTCGTCTGGGCCAGTCAACTGGGTGCCCGGACGAACCAGTCAACTGGGTTGCTGGGTGCCCAGTTGACTAAGTCGCCTGGCGCCCAGACGGCCCAGTCGTCTAGGCCGACCGTTATCTAGGTCCAGAATTTTTTTTAAATTACTTATTTATTTATTTTCTTTAATTTTTGAAGTTAACTATTTATTTTAATTGTTTATATTGTGTTGTCTAATATTTAATTATTATTTGAATTGTTTAATTTTAATGAATATTATGTATTTAAAATTATTTCTTTGAAATGCTTAATATAAATGTTTTATTATTTATCTAAATATTTATTATTTGCCAATTTAGTTTTAATTACTTATTTTATGTTAAGTAATAATAAAAAAAATTAAAAGAAATAATTAAATATTAAATAAAGAATATACATAAAGAACTTAAATAAATATTTAAACATCTGTAAAATAATAAATAAACAATTAAATTAAAAAATTAAAATATCAATCAAATTAAATTTCTGCAAAGCAATTAAAATAAATTTTTAAGTATTAAATAAGCAATATGCATAAAGAATTGAAAAAAGTATTTAAACATTAATTAAAAATAAATAATTAAATTAAGTGTTAGTAAAATAATTAAAATAAGCAATGAAAATATTAAAATAAATGATGAAAATAAGTGTTAGTAAAAAAATTAAACGAAATAATTAAATATTAAATAAGTAATATACATAAAGAATTTAAATAAAATTTAGACATTCGTAAGATAATAAAAATAAGCAATTGAATTAGAAAATTAAAATATCAATCAAATTAATTATTTGCAAAGCATTTAAATAAATATCAATAAAGAATTTAAATAAATATTTAATCATTTTTTTATTTTTTAATATTGAATTTAATTGTTTATAAATATTTCATGAATTATGTAAATTGTTTATTTAAGTAAAATAATTAATTGTTTTTATTTCATTTTATTTAAAATATAAACAATGAAATAAATATAATAAACAATTGAATATTCAATAAACAATTAAAATAAATGAGAAATTAATATAAATAATTTAATGAAGTTAATAAATATGAAATAAACTATTAAAATAAGTAATTAAATATTAAACAAACAATATACATAACCAATTAAAGTAATTAATGAGATATTTAAATAAATATTAAATTAAATATTTAATAAGTAATTTAATAAATCAAATAATACTTTAATTGTTTATGAATATTATTTGTTTAATATATAATTATTCATTTTATACTTTATTTGTTTATTTAAATATTTCACGAATTATGTTAATTATTTATGTATATTGTTTATTTAAATAAAAAATAAATAACTAATTGAAATAAATTAAATATGTATTAATAAAATAATTAAAATAATGAATTGAAATAATAAATAACTAATTGAAATAAATTCAATAAACAAGTAACTTAAATGTTAATTAAGCAATAAAAATAATTAATTAACATAAATAACAAATAAATATAAATAACAAAAACTAGTTTAAATATGTAATTAAATATTAAATAAACAATTGAAATAAATAATTAACATTTAAGTATTAAATAAATAATTTAAATCAACCATAAATATAAATAATAAAAATAAGTAATTAAATATTAAATAAACAATTGAAATAAATAATTAACATTTAAGTATTAAATAAATAATTTAAATCAACCATAAATATAAATAATAAAAATAAGTAATTAAATATTAAATAAACAATTGAAATAAATAATTAACATTCAAAATAAACAATTAAACATTCAATTAACAATTAAAATAAATATTGAATAAACGACCAAACAATTAAAATAAATAATTTAAATACACATTTAAATATTGAATAAATAATTTAAATGAACAATTTAAATAAATAATTAACAATTAAATATTCAATAAACAATTTAAATAAATAGTTAACAATTAAATATTTAATGCACAATTTAAATAAGTAATATAAACTTTTTAATTTTCAAATATTATGCTCTATCTATTGTATCTTATACAAGGTCCAAATATTTTAAATTTTACAAGATGAATTACCATTTAGACGTCACTATGAGACAGATTCCCGACAAAGTTACATCGAACTATAATTTTGTTAGCTTCGCATTAGTTCTAGATTTGTTGGATGAGGAGCGCGCAAACCTGTTACACTGATCCTGCTTATGACGATAATGTTGGTACGATTAGGAGATGCATTCAATGAATGCTTCATAAGTTTGACAAGTTGAAGTTGGGGATATTTATACTAGAGAGCATACTGAGGTGTCATCACAATAAGACGTCGATCGACGTCTTTCATTTGGAAGTTGTTGATGATATTGACACATTCAACAACTATCCATGGAGACAAAGCTGACAGTTATCAGCTTTCCTCAACGATCCTAAGGTACGTATTATTCATTTGTGATTTATGTTGTATGTCATTTCAAAATTTCGATGCATGGTCATTAACTCGGTGAACATTTAAATAATAATTAAATGATTATTTGAATGATAAATAATTAAATGATTATTTAAATGATAATAAATAACTAATTGAAATAAATTCAATAAACAAGTAACTTAAATGTTAATTAAGCAATAAAAATAATTAATTGACATAAATAACAAAGAAATATAAATATTTTAAATTTTACAAGATGGATTACCATTTGAACACCGTCATGAAACAGATTGCTGACAAAGTTGCATCGAATGATAACTTTGCCAGCTTCGCATTAGTCTTATATTTGTTGGATGAGGAGCACGCAGACATGTTACACCGATCCTACTTATGACAGTAACTCTGGCACAGTTAGGAGATGCATTCAAGAAATACGACGATATGTTTGACAAGTTGAAATTGGGGATGGTGTTTATACTGGAGAGCATACTGAGGTATCATCACAAGAAAACATTGATCAGCGTCTTTCATTTGGAGGTTGTCGATGACATTGACACATTCAACAACTATCCATAGGACAAAGCTGACAGTTATCAGCTCTCCTCGACGATCCTAAGATACATATTATTCATTTTGTGATTTATGTTGTACGTCATTTTGAAATCTCGATGCATGGTCATTAACTTAGTGAAATGTTAATATGTCAGTTTGAATTGCTCACTGAGCTGATACCGTTGATCGAGAAGGAGGGTCAGAGTCATATCTAAAGAGATACAATACATAGGTGATAGGGATCCCAGACAGTGATAGAGAGTAGCGGAGATGGTGACAGGGAGGGTGACGGTGGAGGGGTGGGGATGTACACAGTTGTCTCATTAGAATCATTATGGATGTCAGTGGAGATGGAAGAGTGTCGGTGGTGGGGATGAAATAATTGTAATAATTGTATTTTTTTTTATTTATGAAATAATTGTATAGATTGTGAAATTTATTTAAATAAGGCAATGAAAGATTAAATACATACTACACACAATTAATTAAGATAATTTATAAATGAAATATCTAAATAAGAAATTAAATTAAATATTACTTTTTTATTTAATTAAGTGATTAAATAAATAATTGAACAACGTAATTAAATATTAAATAAATAATATACATAATTATATCGAAGAGGACCCTCAACTTGACAGATAATGTCGCGAGTTTGGATGGCACCTTGTACGAAACATATTATTGACGTGCCAGAGCAAATTGTTAGCAAGAGAACTAGATTGTTGTCACAACACATTGTTTCTCCGTACACAATCAAGGCAAAGAAGAGAACATCTGTTGACGGTACGTTGCCCAACCTCTTTTGTGAAATCGACTAGGGCGATTGTGAAATCTTCGCATTTAAGTTAGGGTTGTAAATGGATCGGATATATGGATCGAATTTGCTCAAGTTCGATCCGATCCGTTAATAATAATTATCCGATCCGATCCGATCCAATAATCCGACGGATATTTGAATGTTAAATTCATATCCGATTAACTATGTTATCGGGTATCCGATACGAAATTGAAAAGATTAGAAAAATAAAGATTTTATTTATTTATCAGATAGGAATGACCTATATCCATATTTGATTCATTTAGTTAACGGATTATCAAGTTTGAATCTCGATTGGGTTATCGGATTAAGACCCTAAATCCATTTTCCATTAATTTCATTGGATTTAG